CTGGGGGGCTGGAGGCGCTCCGGAGGGTCACACCCCGATTCTTCCTGGCCCGGGCCCACCCCCAGCCCCTCAGAGCTGCTGCCCAGTGAAGGGTGGAACATTTGGGGCAGAGACCTGCCCCACCCCCGCGGGGAGATGGGGCCTCGGAACCGCCTGTCCATGAGGACCCCCAGAACTGCCCGTGGGCCAGGGCCTGCTGGCCCCTCCCTATTCCTGAGCACCCAGAAGAGCTGGCCACCCCCGAGACCGCCCCAAGGGCTGCAGACACCTGGACAGCCCCTGCCCAGCAGCCCCCCACCCCAGCCCCCCTGTGCGGAGGGGCCCAGCGATGGCCCGGTTCCCGCTGGGCTGCACCCCCTTGCCCACCCAGGGGCGCCTGGCGGGGCTGTGAGCACCTGAGCCCCGGGCAGTCCTCGCCTGGCCGACGGTCACCCCGGAACCTCGGGCTCAAGCGCCAACTGGGCTGGGGGCTGCGGCGGGGCCAGACAGAGCCTCGAGGCCAGTGAGACCTGCCGGGCCCCCCCTTTGGGGCTCATCTGGGCACCACTCAGGCCACTGTGCCCAGCGGGCAGTAGGGACGCCCCCAGTGCACTCCAGGTGCCACCAGCAACCTTGGCCCTGCAGGCTGCCTGGGCGGGGCGGTGACGCAGGCCCCGGCCAGCGGTGCCCAGCCTGTCCACCCCGCACGGCCGGGCGCCGCCCTCCCGAGGGTCAAGGCGGACGTGAGCTGAGGTGCACGGGGTGCACGCTAACTACCGGGGCGGCCCAGGAGCGATCCCGGCTGTCCCCGTGCAAAGCCGCCCACACGCCAGGGGCCCGCTCCCTCGCCTGCCCGCCCAGATGGCCGCGGAGCCCTCGGGCAGCACCAGAGCCGCCTGAGGCGGGGCTGTGTGGCACAGGCGTGGTGGCCCCAAGGTCCACAGCACTGGCCCCGGGAGGCGACCCCGCAGCCCAGGGCCATCTCCGCAAGCGGGCTCGGGGTCAACGCCACGCCCTCCGGGGCACCTGCGTCCGCGGGGCCTCGGGAAGGGCGCCGGGCCGGCAGTGGCCAGACCTCCCCGGCATCGGGCTCAGCCCCCTCGTGTCCCCGAGCGAGTGTCCGAAAGGCAAGGCTGGTGCTGCAGACGTGGCAGAACCTTCTGGAAGGCCGGCAGAGGGCTCAGGGGTGGTGTGGACCGCGGCACTGGGCAGCCCCTGGCCCTCGCAGCCTCAGCCCCGAGGCAGGAAGCGGGCCGAGGGCCAGAGGGGACCTCGGGCAGCCCGGAACATGGGTGACC